GGTGGAAAAATACCCTAATGAAATCCAAAAATGCGTTTTTAGATTCCGAAAATTCATTTTTGGACACACTCTTTTCTCACTAAACCATGTCCTAAGTGAGTCTCACTCCATATTTTTGCCAAAATTTAGTCCGGAGATGCATCTCTGGATTCACCCTATATGCACCCCTGCATTCCTAACTGAAACACGCCCATTTTAACATAAATTGATCATGAGATGCATCTCTGTATTCACACCAAACATAATTCAGAAATACGTTTATGTATTCAAATCAAACAATAATTTTTTATATTGTTTTAGAGATACACTGATGCATTTGACAATGTGTTATAGTTATACTATCATATTCAATTTTATATAATTTAAACCATACACTCATCAAATGATATGAAAATACCATATGTAAATGAATAAATATGGAATATATAACAAAGTCAAAACAAAGTACAAACGATAATAGTGCTCCTAATACAAATATTATACACTACTGAATATGTCGGACTTGAGCCCTTCTATTCTTACTCTGCCTCCTATATTGCAGTGTTACTCGTACGTCCTCTATGATCTAGAACATCCTTAACCTCAGAGCCATCAAGAAAGAGTCATAGTCTATACTTTCATGTCTAGCCTTCGTGATACAATAACATCTTGGAAACATATCAACAACATAGTCTACCTTAGCCCACTCCTTATATAGTATCTCCTGATGAGTTGGCCTAGATGGATATCCTGGAGAATCACGTGTCATATAAGGATGTGACATCCTGGAAAAAAAAACTAGGAGTAGTTGTGTGCAACACTATGGTCGTTAGGAGTTATGGTACCACGTGTCACATTCGGTACCAGATGATTAAGGTAATCATTACACATGACACCACATATTTGTGTGTCGTAGCGTACAAAGAAGACTCAGAAGGGTCTATGAGAATAAACTTCATGTAGCTGAACTATCGCATGACACGCTCAAAGAGGTGTGGAACAAAAGATGTGACCTGCAAACCAACCATCTAGAGTAGAAAGCTATATCCTCTAACGGGTGCATCTCATGGTGATTTATGTAGCCTAGAAATGTATATCCTCTGCGACTAAGCAGACAAGATACACTCTGAATGGCTTTGTCTCGATTCCATATGAGGGAAATGAATGTAGAAGCACATGTCATATCCTCAATGTAGGTCGGAACACTTGACCATTCGGGTATGTGTGGGAAGTGTGAGAGGATTCAAGTCTAAAAATGGTATATATGAATCATTAGTAATAGAATAGCACAAGTGTTATGAAAATGATACACAGACACTAAAAGATTCAAATATATTATTGTCAACAGTGTGCAGTTGCTTGTTTGATATTGATAATAGAAGGATGAAGAAAATTTCATACCGTGAAAATTAGAGAATGGGTGTTGACGGAAGGGTTAGCTAAAACGTTGTTGAGTTGAAGAGCGATGAAGATATGAAGACTATGTGGAAATCATACTGCCGTAGGCTAACTAAGGGGCCATTGAAATTGGAAGCGCGGCTTTCCAGATCTGCCGATGACATAATTAAGATGTTGGAACATCCAGAATCATCATGTAGTTTCTAGGTTTTTATGTTATTATTTATGTATTTTGTTATGTTTTAAGCTATGAAATATGTTATGTTTCAAGTTATGTTGATGTGTGAAAGATGTAATGCTCAAAACGAAGTGATAATAAAAATCCAATGCCAATAACAAGTTTGTGTCAAAATGATAAATATAATACAATAATAACAAAAAAAAACCTACATACCCCCGCACATGCTATGTGTGTTGCTTGCGCCAAGCCTGTATAAACCTCACCATTCGATTTTACCAAACCCATGAGGTTATCTATGATAGAAGCAATGATTTGGAGGCGCTCTTAGTCAACTGTGTCGGAAAGGTTACGGTGGCACATCATCATCAATATGAACCTGAGTCTCAGAAACCCCGACATCTGAATGGTCGGCCGTAGGTGGGATGATACGAGGGTGGGACACTGTGAGGTACCACTCTATGTATTTGTACTCACACTGTGACCCCTCCTGAATCCTCATTGCTTTCTCTATAATGGCACAGGTTGGGCTGAGGATATTACTCTAAAACCATATATCAATACCAACGCCACCACCAGAAATATCTGGAACAGGCCATGGGATGCTCTGGACATACCCATATTATCACAGACACCTCTCGGATAGGTGTCTAGCCACCATGCTCTCCCACCTCAAATGACCTGAAAATAAAGAAATCGAATCAAACGGATGATGGGCCCTGTCACCATCATATGGTGTCCAGATGACATCCTCAACTGTCAAGGCATCCAACTCCCTCCTGTACTCAAGCAATCCTCCTGAATACACCTATCTGGACCTCAATCTCCTCTCTTGGGGTGCATCCGCTGTGACACACTACTCCCTCCTATCAACGATACAGGAGAAGTGCTCGTATATCCAACACTAATAACAAAAAACAAACACAACAATTAATAAACAAGAAATGTCACAACTAACATTTAAATTACTACTATAAATAATGTGACCACATACCTGAAGTAGACTGAATTATCCACAAATCTGCTTTGTCTCAAAGACAGTCGCAGCTCCTAACACCATATAGAGAACGATCAATGCACAACACCCCTAAGCCTAATTACCATGGTCAAGATCACGAAACAATCAAACATAGTGAGCATCAATATAATTATGAGACTTGTCCACGAGAACGGTACATGCTACTAGATATAGCACTTACGCCCTAGCGACAACCTTATGCATCTGTGCCAGCACAAAGTCATTGTACCTCTCCCGGAGCCAAGACAATCGCAAGTGAAGACTCCTGTTGTAGCCAAACTCCTTAATCACCTCCTCCTCGGTCACTCTCATATCATGTATTATCGTCGTCACAACATCCAACTCACTGATAATAAGAGCGGTGAAAAACAACCCACTAATTGGGAGATGAAACAACACAGAGGTGTCATCCAAAGTAAATTTCATCTCCCTAAATGGAAGATAAAAGGAAGATGTCTATGAGTGTCACTGCTCAACTAAAGCGGACAGGAGAGGGGCGCCTAACATGGTCAACGAGCAGCCGGTCATGTCGAGGAGGTCAAAATCCTGAATAATAGTCCTAACTCGCTCAGGCATCTCAGTTTATGGTCAGTCCTTTAACTTGGCCCTGTGGGATGTCGCCTTCAGTTGGACACGGTCCTGTAACAAACAAAATTTAAAAAATCAACAGATTTCCAATAATAAATCATAAATCAGATAAACTTCAACATATAATATATTTATACCTCTCCCTGCCATAAATGGTAAGCAACATGGTCAGCATAGTCTGTGAACACATACCTCTCACTCGGTCTTATTAGGAAGGCTCCACTGGTGTGAACATATGCCTTTGTAAAAGCACGTGTTGTAGCATTTGTATCAGTCGAAGTCTCCTCGTGACTAGGCACCTCCTCCACGGATACCTCAACATCATCATGCACCTCAACATTAACATGAGGCACCTCAACATCAACAGGAGACACCTTAACAGTCTCAGGAGGCACCTCAACAGTCTCAGGAGCATGCACCTCCACAGCAACAGATACCTCCATAGCAACAGGCACCTCTACAGCAATAGGTACTTCCACAATAATAGATACCCCGTCAGCAACAACCTCAGTACCAGCTCGGCGTCTGGGTGCACGAAACCGACCATGTGCATGCTCAGCCATTTATTTCTGATGTGAGTCGGTCAGAGCAACTCGTTCAGCCCGAAGTTGAGATGCCTCTGCCAACTCAGCCCTGACCTAGGCAACAACTATGTTTGTCCTCTTGTCTCTAATGGTCCTGTCTTTCCCTAAGGTCCTCACTAAAAAAATAGAAAAAACAAAAAAAAAGATAGATAAAACAAAAAATGATAACTACCAGAAATTTGAGAATTTCCGGAAAAAATGGACATTCTGGAAATTTCAAAATATCCGATAGATATTTACAGAAACTTTCAAAATTTCCGATATAATATATCGGAAAACTCCAAAATTTCCAATAAAAAACTTACTTGTTCAACAAAATTTTCGGTATCATCCATAGAATTTCTGATATCGCTTATGAAATTTTTGGTATTTCAATTTTTTTTTCAAAATAAGCAGAAGAGTGTTTTAAAAAAGAAGAAAAAATCCATCAGAACTATTATAGTCTTTTACAAATTGAAAGTGTCATATTTAACCCACCCAGGGGGTGGGCATGTTAAAAGCTCCCCCATCGAAGCTTCTCCTTGTGTGTGTGCTTTATGGTGACCGAGTCACTGCCTTTCATATAGTCATAAAATATCAGAATTTTGATGATAGATGAGCAATAGAGGATATTAGAAAAAGATACGAGAATAAGATTGTGTGAAAATATATATACATATATACATGTTTTAATTTTATTTTTTTTAGAAAATATAAACCACTAAATGAATCTGTGTATTTTTCTGCTCCACCCATATTGAATCATCACCTCATAAGCACATATAAAATATTTTGGATAAAAAACTGAAAACATCGGTAGATAAGTGTTCCTTCTTTCTCATCTTCTCCGTTTGCAAAGCCATTGATTCTCGCTAGTGTGACTGCATGGGATACAGGAGTAGTGAGTGAGAACTGTGATAAGAATAAGCATCGAGCGATGGAGCACGATTAATTTGACCAGTAAAATAGAACCCCCAAGGTCCTATAGTCGTCTTGTAAATGAGAAAATGGAGTTTTACTCTCTTATATAGATCCACCTTAAAATATAAAAGTTGGAACAGCACTTACATGATGTGAAGTGAACTAGTGAGAATCAAGCAATTGCTTTAATTGCAATGAAATAATGGGTTGAAAACCCAAAGCAAACACAATTAATAGTTTTTACAAATAAATGGCAATTGCAGTGATATCCTAAAATGTTAGTCCTAGCTTGTCAATTAAGCAATGAAAAAATAAATTCTAAAAACATGTTAAGTAACAACATCTATCAAACTTCTTATTGACGACTCTTCTTAGCTAAATGACCAGTCTTCCGCTTATGACGACTGAAATCAGACACAAATCTGAATGTTTGTGCACAACCTGGCTCTGCACATACATAAGGACGTGCACCAGTGTGGACTCGGATATGCTCAGTCCGAGCCCATGCCCACTTGAAAGACATCTTGCACCCCTTCCAAGGACACTTGAGCGGGCGGTCATCTTCATGAACTCGCCGGTGCTGCACCAGATATTTATGTGAGAAGAACTTTTTCCCGCAACCTTTTACTGGACAGATATTTTTCTTATGATGCAGCAGCTCCTGTTTTGACTCAAAACTCATGCTGCATCCCTCGATGTCACACTGATATTCTGCTTCCTCGTCCTCTGTTTTGGCATTGCAAGCTGAAACGATAGTAGCTGCTGTGGCGTCCTTTGTCCTTTTCCTTTTGGTTTGCTTGTCTTTTGATTTTACTTCAGACTCCTGAGCTTTTGGGAGTCTCTTTCTAAGGCGTGTGCTAGGTCCACCTTCTTCCTCCTCTTCCATATCTAAACTAGGCTCTCTGGAGTTACCACATTGTTTATTTCGCAAATGAGCAGCCTTCGATTTCATCAGCATCTGAGCCCCTTGTTTCACTGGCCGAGGTGTCTGGTTTTTCATCCAGAGAGATTTGGATTGTTTCACCTGTTTAAGTGTCTTTGGTTTAGATTGTTTACTTGGAAGAGTTCTGTGCTGCTGAAGAGAATCATCTTCCATTTCATTATCTAAACTCGTATCATCTTCATCCTTGCATTTAGCTTTCTTCCTTTTAGAAGTTCTATGCAGCAGACAGGCATTGTCGTCGGCCAAGTCATCAATAATTTCTTCATCAGTCTGTATGGTGTGCCTCCTGCTCTTGGGAATATTTCGCTGCTGCTTCTGAAAGTGATCAAGTTGGTCATCAGACGATTCATTTTTAAATTCTCTACCAATGCCTTTGTTTTTCCTTCTAGAAATTATTGGTTTCTGCTTTTGAAAGGTGTCTTCCGATTGGTTGTCAGACATAACATCTTCCCTTGCTACACATTTGGCTTGCCTGACTTTAACTGTTCTTCTTTTGTACTTGCGAGAATAGATATTTGTTTGGTTATCCGATACAATATCATCTTCATGGAGGTATTTGGCTTTCCTACTTCTAGAATTACCCCGGCGCTGTTTCTGGATGTTCAGCTCCAGTTGGTCATCTGATATCACTGAATCTTTTTCAGCAAGGGAATTTCCTTTACTGCTTTTAGGAATTCTCTTGTGTTGCTTCTGACAACCATTCTCCATTTGGTCATCAGAAATTGCATCTTCTTCACTAGTGAAGTTGGCATGCTTGCTTCTAGAAGTCTCTATGTGCAACTGAGGAGAATCGACATTCAAAGAATCCACTGAAATTGAGTCTCTCTCTGTATCTTCAACTTGCTTGTTTCTAAGTTCTCCCATCTGATGACAATCGGAATCATAGTCCACTGCATCATCTGAAACCACATCATTGTCAATAAAATTAGCTTTTTTGACATTAAAACTCCTTCTATGTTGCATGTGATAATCATCTTCATGCGGATCATCAGAAACTACATCACTTTCTGTGCAATTTTTTTGTTTGCCCATAGGTTTTCTACGACGATATGAAGAACAATCCCTATGCAAAGCTACACCATCTTTCTCAACACCCCTAGCTTGCTTGCTTCTAAGAATCCTCCTTCTCTGAGGATTGGGTTTATCTTCAATGGAATTATCCAAAACCGCATCTTTTTCAACAAAACTTCCTTTCCTGGTCCGTCCACTGTTTAAGGTCGTTTTCCTTTTCCTACCGGATTTTGTCGTTTCAGTTTTGGGGGTACTTCCCGATCTCTCAGTTTTCACATCAGGCGATAACAATCTATATAAAATTTTCTCATCCTCAACATCTTCAGAATCCATTTTTGCTAAAAGGGCATGGACCTGATTACACATCCAAACTTTACCACACCATTTGCCAGCAACTACCTTTTTCTGCCGGTCGGTCCTTCTCTGATAGACTTTTGGTTCTATGGGCGAGCTTGCTGGAGAGCTACGACCAAATGCATAATATATAACAGGATTGTAAGGCATCTGCTTGCTATAAAGAGGAGAGCGGCTAAGACTTGCACTATAAAAGAGATTTATTCCTAGCTTTACAGCCCAGTCCCCATTTCCGGGAATTGCTTCTTCACTATCCACAGCTGCCTGGATCCTCTCCTCATCTTCCTTGGTGCCATGCCTGTAGGCAATATTCTTCCATGTATAATCAATTCCTAAATCTTCTGCCCCCAACTTTGCCTCAGCCTCTATCTTGGGATAATCTAAACAAGTAAAATAAATTATAAATAGTTTGCACAAAAAAAAAAACTAATTAACTGTAAGCAACTACACAAATAAACACTAGTAAAGCAATCACAGTCTTATAAGATGTAGATAAAGAAGTTAAAGTTAACGGTAGTGATGAGATGTTAAAGCCATGAAACTAACAGAACAATCTTTTCTCAAATCAGAAAGATGCATCTTTTTAGATATCCTGACTAGTATAACTCATCATAGCTAAAAAATTCCGAAGCTGAATTGTATGATGCCGAACTAATTACACAAGAGTTCAAAGCTTTTACTACAAGAGAAACAAATGAGAGGCAAAAAGCAAAGGAACAGAGTTGTTTTGCAATTGCAACACAAGACAACATAAATGAATAGTAAATCAATCAACCTCAGACCTGGATGACATAAGAGCACTATGTGGGCTCCACCTATTGGCCGAAGTTGCTGCTCTGCTTCTACAGCATGCTCTAGACAGAATACATGCATTCTAGACGAGTCTTCGTCACATTGCGGTGCCAATAAAGCATTTTTATGATTGACAGCAACCATGGCTTCAGCCGACAGTGACTTTTCAGCATTATTAGCATCTTGGGAACTATATGCAATGGAACAAAGCACTGGCCTTGTATTTTCAAATGCAGCTTCTGAAGTCATTTTATAATCCTGTTCCTCAGATGATTGTTCACAAGGCTGACTCAAATTAACCTCAAATATTTGTGTTTCGTAACTGGCGCTCTCTGAAAGAATACCATCTTTATCATGTGTAGTTATAGGATTAGCATGGGAAGCCTGAACATTAGAAGGGAAACTTTCAGATGTAGAGTTTATCGCATTCAATTCATGATCGTCAATTGCATCTTCCTCAGAGTCAGAAGAATTTGCATATGCTGAAGCCAATAATGCAAGAGCTGTATTGCCATTTCCTCCTTCAGTATTTAAAGCCTCTTCTTGGGTATTGGTCTTCGTCCACCCTGCATCACAAAACAAAATGGATCATTGCCAAGGAAAACCAAAGCTAAGAATCTATATTTGTCAAACTTTTGAGAGATAGCAAATTAGATGTAAAAGGCATCTGGTAGCTAAAATACCTAAGTTGTATTTTCAAATGTACATCAAAGGAAATTAGTGCATGTTCGTAGTCTATTATTATCCCAACTAAAACCCCATCATATCATTATGGCAGTTGGTACTGTGTAACAAGTGACCAGCTCTTGACCCTGGTGGCAGGACAACTCAAAGCTTTTTCAACCATAAAATGCAAGATAATCTTCTAGTCTTAGGACTTAAATATTGGAACCACTTAACTCAAGTATCTCAGGGGTTTAGATAAGCCTAGAAACCTACCTTTTTGACCCCAAATGCGTAAAAAGAGAAAAGAATGAAGCCCACGGATTTGCTATTTTACAAACAGTCATTTACTTCATACAGGGGAAGCATTTAAAAAAGAACAGGAGGAATAAGGAACAGACGAATAAATATTTCCAAATAGAACAAAGATGCAACAGAAAGATATTTTGGCAACAAAGGAGAGGGGGCGAACAAGAAAGCCCCAGTCCATGCCCATGCAGAGACAAGTAAGAAACTACAGCCACAACATGTGTATTTCTTCTCTACAGTCAGAAAATCAAGACCGGTTGGCCATGCAGTTCAGTTATTAAAGATAGAACGACACTGACCATATAAATAGGATGTAACATACTTCCCAATGAGCATATGGAACAGGGCCCAAAAATACCTAGAATGTGTAGTCACTATTGATTATAACTGAAGAAACCCATAAACGATTCTCGATACAATAGGATACATAATATGAAATACTAGAAATGGAACTTGTAAAACCTGCCTGTTTGCATATTTGGCTCAGGAATATTAGCATCTTCTTGAGCAACAATAAGTTTATTGCTAGGTAATCCAGAACCAACAGCCCAATCATTAAAGAAGCTACAATCAGCAGACATAAGATATCTAGCTGCCAGTTCGCTAGGACGTACAATAGCAACACAGGAAAAGTTTAATAGTCCACATGTGACGCACGAAAACAGTCTCTGATCTGACAACCCGTTTCCTTGATTAGTTTCACTGTTGTTTCCTGTTTGAAGTTGCTTAGAACTTGAAGGGGGGGTGTTACCGTTTGCATCAAACGAGGAAATCCCCTTCCCTAATACCAGATCATCAGAAACAAAACCTTTTGAGGAATTCATTCCCTTGGAGTTGCATACATTAATGGAAAATTCAGGGTTCACTTTTTGTTGCTGGCATCCAACACGTAATTTTGAGCAAATAGAAATGTCAACTGAACTGCGAGGAAGAAGTACTACAGGAGATTCTTTTCCGAGTACATGAAGCAGATCATTGTTTCGTAACACGTCTTGGACAAATAGTTCTTTGACTACAGAGTCTCCTTCACCCTTCTTTTTATCTTTAAGACGAGAACTCCGTGGTTCCGCACTGATTCCCCCAGGGATTCTGTATGGAAAGAACAAGGATGTTTACAGGAAGCATATATTAGAATACCTGTATGGTCCTAAAAATCATTTTATTTGCCCCATGATTAAATCACACACACACACACATGTATATGTATTAACTAGAATGATTCTTCCAAAGATATTAAAATTAGGGAATTACATCTTGAAACTTCATTTGGTTAATAATTTGATAAGATATTGGTGGCACTCCTATGGTCAATTACAAAAGCCTAGAATAGGGAAAGACAAACCTAGAACACAAAGCTAAGGCAAGGTCATAAAGTAACTGGAAATGTGAAACCATGGGAGGATAATTTATTGAAGCCCTTCGAATAGCAGCATCTTTAGCAACCCTCAACCACTCAGGTGTTGCTATGTTTGCTGCCTCTCCACAATTAAAACCTACACGATACACATCCAAAGCATTAGAAGCACTCAACTATTGGCAGAAATGTTATTAACTAGACCAACCTCCTCCCTGTGTGTGGAGAGAGGGGGGGCTCGATCCTATGAGTAGCATTCTTAAATTGTCAAGTGTTTTACCATGACTAAATCCAGTGTGATAGGCTCTTGGAAATGTCACAACAAATTCTCCAGCATTTTGCACTAACCTGATCCAATGCAATTGAAAGTTAAAGTCAAAATGCATATAAAGTATGAACCACCATACATAATAATCACTGAAAATATGATTTCTATCATGATTACCAACATCCGTGATTACGATATTAAAAATATATTATTAGGAATAAAAGAGGGCAACAAGAACTAGGATGGAGATAAGCTATTCTTTTTTAAAATAGGAAAACAATTTTCCAGAAAAAATTAAAGGGAAAATAGAGGGAACCGAGCATGAAGCATGCGACTAGGCTTTCCCAGCATATGAGAAATGGGAACTTCCCGAAACAGCAACAATGATGCACCAAAGATAAATATAATTCTATGCCAAAGTAAATCTAAAAAACCGTTAAAGATGAGCTTAATCCACACTAATGGAATGCAGCAAACAACAGGATAAACTGAACACTGTCACACCATTATGGATTCCTAGTTTCTGACAAAAACATCAAACACTGGCCATCAGAAGCTGCTACCACTTAATATTCATCAATTACACCAAATATATGATTCCAAATGGAAGCAGCGGAGCAATTAAAACAAATTATTCAAAATGGAAATAGATGCTGTCATGATGAATTCCATCTCATTAACTACTACAGAAAACAGTTAAATGTTTTGAGCATTTCATATACATCTCCAGCAAGATTGTAAATAACCCACAGGCCACAGCAAAATGGCAGTGTAAGTAATTAATGGTTGAAATTTATCCAGAGAATTTACAAAATGTAGTATGACAATCATTCAAAATTAGTACCTGCAGCATGGAACACCTGCACTAACAAGCACTTCAGGTGACATCACTGTGGTTTTCTCACCCAGAATAGAAAATGTAACTGTTCACAGGAAAGAAGAGTCGTATAAGGTATGTAACATGTGCATCCATATATAAACACAAAATTGAAGTGACATCCCTTCAACATTCAGAAAAAACTACCAGCTCCTCCCAATAATGTTAGATGAGACCAACCAATATTCATCATTAATAAAAAAAAATAGACCACTATAAATCAAAACTGAAAGAAATGAAGATAGCTTGCACACAACATGAAACCTAGAAATGTGATGCATTTGTATAGAGCAAATGAAAGAGACAGGGGTTCATGCTCAAATAGGGGTAGAAATGCTACAGAACCAGCTCCTCCCAATAATGTGAAATGGGACCAACCAATATTCATCATTAGTAAAAAAAATAGAACGCTATAAATCAAAACTGTAAGAAATGAAGATTGCTTGCATAGAACATGAAACCTAGAAACGCCGTGTATTTGTTTAGAGAAAATGAAAGAGTCGAGGGTTCATGCTCGAATACGGGTAGATTTCTAGACCCCATCTATTAAATTTCACAAAACTTATGTTCAATCATTAGACCCATTCACTGCCTCCTTACGCAATGACCTGGGATCCTAAAATTATAATTTCAGTAACTTCTAACAGGTTGAGATTAAATCAGAGATTGAAACTGAAAACATAAACTCATAAGAATTCACTGCTAAAAGTGTTAACAATCATGCCTTACTTTGTGGGTGGATGTCACAAGACATGCATGTGGAGAAAGAATGAAACAAACGACCCACAATGCACTAGTAGAAGATACAAAGATTGCAGGAAAACATGTACTAAGAATCCAAACAACAGGAAAAGAGATTCCTGCACAATACAAAATTAGTGTGCCTTTTTCTGAAGAAGTCAAAATGATTAACAGAAACAGAACATGGTAATATAAGAGAAGAAGCAAACAATGGTGGCAGATAGAGAACCATAAAAGAAAACAATGTATATTATCTAGTCAACAATGTTTGAAAAACAAAAACACAAAAAGTAAGGAAAACGGTGAGACTCTGACCAAGAGGGTTAATCTCTCCACCATAGCCATGAACCCTAACAACATCCTCAAAAGCAACAGCAGCATCCCTAGGAACACCATACCATGTCTTAGAAGCACCCATATGTAGATAATTCAAGCTATGAAGATCATGATCCTCCACATGCCAAGCAAACCAGCTGAAAAGCATAGCAAGATAAACCATAGGCGAAGTAACCCCGGGAATCTCCTCCTTCATAAACCTCAACAAAGACCCTTTGGCCCTGGAAACCCCTCTCATATTCCAAGCACTATGAGCAACCGAAGCAGCCTCACCAGCATATCGACATTGCGCCGAAAATGCAGAACCGGGCATGTCGTTGGCATACTCAACCGAAAACGGTTTATCAACCGTAGCCTTCCAAAACATGGTCTCTGTTTCAAGAGCAGAAACACCACCATTACCACCAGCCTTCTTGTTAAGCTTCTTCAAGTAACTTTTCTCAAACCATTTGGCTTTGGCTTCGAACTCAGCGAAAGTGTAGTGGTCCCCACTCTGCCAGACGGGTCGTTTCACGGGGCGGGACTTCCGCGGACAGAACCCGATCTGCTGCTGACGTGTGGTGAATGTGGAATTAACCAGTGACCTGTTGAGGTTAGCTATGGCGGTTTTCTTCGGTGACGGCGGAAACGGTGGAACGATTTTGCAGATTCCGTATTGTGATGCTTCCTTCTCGATCTTGAAAATGTAACCGATCGGATCTTCGAATTCCGCGGCGGTTGGTCGGTATTCGGGTGCTACTGGCATGGATTTCAGCCATGGGAATACGTCGCCGTTTAAGTCAGAAACTACCATAGCAGCAAACAGATTTGTGATTGAATCACATTTAACTTATTAAGATTCGCTCAGGAATAGAGATGGATTTTTATTATTATTTTTTATGACTCTGTTTTTTGTTTTCCTCTGTTTTTCAATAATAATACAGAGGAAATGGAAATGGAAATGAAAAGGGGGAAAACGAATGAATAGACATAAAAGTAACACTGGCTTAGTAGAATTTAGTAAACAACCAGGAAATGAGTTTTACTTTTACTAATTCGTAGATTTGCGGAGACGTGTTTTATGCCACTCTTTTCTCTTTTTATTTACTTTAACTATTATTTTCTTTTATTTTCTTTTCTTTTTTTTAAGATTAAATAAGTTTTACGTCTCAGTAAATATTTCAAATTTCGTTTTTAGCCTCTCAAATATTTTCGTTTAAAGATTAGTCTCTTCATAAAAATTCGTTTGAAAAATTGGTCTCCAACGTCAAGTTCCACTAACGGCATCCCATGTGGCAAGACAGGTGGATTAAATAATTTGTTTTATATTTTTTCGTAGAATATCGCGTGTACACCTTCATAAAGTTAAGTCACATGCATTTTGACCTAATTCATTTTCTTTCTTTTTCGTTCATAATCTTCTTCGTGAAATTCCTTCTTCTTCTTCTTCAGTTGGTGTGGTGGTTCGCCTTTCATCTTCTTTCTGCTTCAGTTGGTTTGGTGGTTCACCTTCTTTCTTCTTTCATCTTTGTCATCCTTCAGCTGCATAACCCTAATGTTTATTTCTTCTGTAAAATTGTGAGTTGGGAAGTTTTGTGGTTGTCAGGTTCGGATGGTATCGTATTGTTGCAAGAATGGACCAAATAAGGGTAAATTGTTTTGGAGATGTCCTTATTGGCAGAGTTTTGATACGTGTAATCTATTCATATGGGATAGAGATCTTGGTGTAAAATATGGAAATGAAGTTACTATTAGGAACTCAGAGTTGGAAGCCATGGCATCTGTGGGATATATGAAGTCGTTGTATGAAGAATCAAGGAAGAAGAACAAAACTTGAAGACCAAATTGAAAACTGAAATTTTTTATGAAAGATTGAAGATGTTGTGTCTTGTTGTGTCATTTATGATAAATGTGTATTTTGTTATCAATTATAGTTGCTGAATTGTTCATCTAATGAGAATGTACTGTGATTTTAGGTCTTGTTTCAATGTTCATTTTGTTATCAATTATAGTTGCTGAATTGTTCATCTAATGAGAATGTACTGTAATTTTAGGTCTTGCTTCAATGTTCAGTTTGTTATCAATTTGTAGATGTTGAATTGTTATCAATATTGTTTGTTATAATTAAATTGACATAATTTTCAATATTGATATAAAAAGCTTGTAATTTGATTGTTAAGTGCATAACTAAGCACATACTGAGACATGAGTACAAATTACATTAAAGGTTCAAAGTGCATAACAAAGCACATTACAAAGTGCATAACAATTCACATTACAAAACACATAAAAAGTACATAACAAAACACATTACAAAGTGCATAATAATACAACATTTATTTGTTTCATAAGACATAAGATACAATCAAACTACATTTATGTCACTCTTGAGCTTTTACTGAGTCATGCTCTTCTGGATGACATCCCATTTCTTCTTTCCCTTTTCCCTAGAACTGCCAATAGTTGAGTCTTCTTCGGGTATTACAAATGGATCATTTGGATCCCTTCCAGGTCCCTTTATATTCTTTGTCATCAAAGTTCTAAGTTTGTCACTCTTTCTAATTGTAGATGCAACAATCTTTGACTTTTTCCTTGGTGATATCTTGATTTTCACCTGTTATGAAAACAGTGTTATCAAGGTAAAAAAACAGAACATGCCAAATAAGTCTATCAGAACAAGTTACAAACGTACAGGGTCACTCATAGTTGAGTTAGCAACTGGTTTAGTAGGTTTTGATACCTTAGGACATTTACCAATAAAGGTTTTGGGACCAAGCATATTATTCTTTGCAGGACTAGTATCAATTCTTAATGGTGGAATATCTAGTATGTCATCATCATTCAATAATGCCTCTAGTTCATCAGGATCTATACCACAGTACATTCTCATTTCCTCAGATGAGATAACATAATTTTGTGAAAGGTGTACCCCTAATTGAGTAGGTGTTACGTCAGTTGGTGCAGGGTTTTCTCCAAGTTGAGTAGCATGACTCATATTTGTTGCAGTTGGTACTTGAGCCTCATTTCCTGCAGTAACATGACTCTCATTTCTTACAGTAGCATGACTCTCATTTCCTACATTAGCATGACTCTCAGTTCCTGCATTAACATGACTCTTAGTTCCTGCAGTAGCATGACTCTCATGTCCTGCAGTAGTCTGACGCCCATTTCTATTTTTTGATTTCTTAGATGTGCCTTCTTTTTTTGTTTTGATTGTACCTTTTGGCTCACCCTACATCCAACATAATTGTAAAAATATATTGAAAATTATATATGAATTTCTAATGTAAATATTTTGTTCAGTTTGAGTTATTAACCCTTTTTTTGGATCCTGCAGTAGCCACATTTTGTGTTTGGCTTCCTTGGGTGGGTGTAACTTCTCTTGGCAGTTCACCTTCAACAACTACCAATTGTTTGTTTTTCTTACATGTCTTTGCATTGTGACCATATTCCAAGAAAGTCTTGCACATATGGCTTGTATTTGTCCTTTGCACTGTGATACGGTGGGAGAACTGACTTGAGGTTTTGCGTTTGTTTTCGCAAATGTTTCGGTTGAGCAAGAGTCGCCACCGACTTTTTATTTTATCCTAAGGAAAGGTTAAAAAGCACAGCAAAAACCTTTGAGATGTTTTCTTGGGTTCAGGGAGTAGATTATAGAAAGGGAAGGTATTAGCACCCTTTCTATCCATGGTTATCCATGGGCTCTTAGTTACTTGCTTAGATCAACTTGCCTTGATTTTCAATTGTTTGAAATGGTGCTTTGTGTGTGGGTTTGAAAATGTTTTGAAAAGAGGCCAATGTGGTGGCAACCTTTGTAATGACCCATGTTTGGATGTATACAAAGGTGTATGTCTTTTGAAAAGTTTTCAATATTTTTGAAAGTTGTTTTGAAAGTGTGTTGTGATGTGTGGTTTTGAAAAATAGGCAAGTGTTTTTGCAAGATTGGTCAAGTAACCAAGAGTTGTCTACCCCTAAATTTACTCAAAGGTTTTCTCTATGTTTTAACCCTTTTAACAATTTTGTTCCACCATTGTATTTGGTGGACAATCTTGTGTTAGGATGTTAACGGGACGGGCGTGGGTCATCGTTTAGACCATGATTGCAATGGTGCCAAGTGTCTTTGGCAACTTTTTCCTTTAAGGGACTTGATCATTTTTTAGGCAACTTTCGAAAGCGTCATCGAGGGACTATGATCATTTGAATTGTTTTTGTTTTGCCAAAGACACCTAACATGCAACATGGCCCATTATTGAAGGCAACAAGTGGATTGTAACCCTAGGGGTGCAAGTGTGATTGGTGTTGTCCATTTTCATGCTTTTTATCTTTGGATTAGGTCAAGCTATTTGTTATTTGATTTTTGCATACAAATCCTAAGTCTATCATGGCATATTTAGAAAGCTTTAAAGTGCGGAATTTAAAGTCCTAAATTATTACAACACAATTATGGGATGGGGGGTACAAATGTTCAAATGGGGGATATTTAGCAAGAAAAATTAAATCTAAACTATTACATCCAAATTGAATATACAAATTATTTAATAATAAAATAAAATAAAATAAAATATGCAAGATGCAAAAAATGATTTTTATATGTATGTAAAAGGGTTTTTTATGTGACAAATAAACAAAAATAAAAAAGATAATTTTTGGGTATTTTTCATGTTTAGGGCAAAACCCTAATTTTGCAAATAAAAGGTAATTATTATTTAATATATACAATGTTTATTAATTGTATACAAAAAATAAATAAAAAGGAAGTATATTGTAAAAAAAGTGATTTTTGAGGTTAAATATTAATAAAAATAAAAATGTATTATTTTTGTATTTTTTTCCTAAATATTCTAATAAATATATAAGTATTTATGATATTTACTAAATATATTAAATATGTACAAAAATAAAATATTTATTATTTACAAAAAAAAAGTATGTTTTTAGAAAATGTTTTCAAAAGATAAAATAAAATAAAATTAGAAAACAAAATGTGTTTGTATTATTTTTGTTTTTTTTTTTTGAATAAAAGGCAATATGTTTATTTACATGCATAAATTCAAATAAAACAAGCAAAAATCTAAATAAAATGCAAAAATGGTTGAAAAAATGTTTTTAATATTTTTTATATTTTGGCAAAAAATAATAAGTCAGAAACAAAAAGAAAAAGTCAAAAAATGATAAAAATAAACATAATGGGCCAATGGGGGTGCAAGTGTGGAAAAGTGGTGCAAATAGAAAGACAAAACTCAGGCCCAGCCCAAGAGGGGTTGTCTTCAACCTCCACCAACCTTCCAAACAAAAAACGCGTGCTTCCTGCTATCTCATGATTCTTTGATATTCAGCAAAAACTTACAACAACAATGTTATAGAGCATCTTGTCACGATTCCAAATATATAAAAAAGTCATTCTAACTCTCAGAAATGAGAGAGAATTTCTTCTCCCCCAATTCCTGACCTAGCTTTTTTCAGATATTCAGTTTCAAAATTCTCTCAGTGTACACAATATAAATGAAAAGTAACTATATGGATGGCTTCAGGGCTATGATTAGAACATGCTTTCTTCACAAACTTAAGCCTAACTATGCCTAGATAGAGAGATAGAAGTTCAAAAACTTACCTGTTCAGCTTGATTCGTGTATGACAATGGAGGTACTTTCAGTGCAATGTGAGGACTTGTACAACTTGCTTGAAGTTCAGGGATGCTTCTCCAACCTCTAGCTTGCTTTGAAACTGAATGAAACGAGCTATGGAAGTTCACCTGCAAAATTGAAAAATGAAATGGCAGATGGGGTTAGGAGTGTTACAGCTGGTGTTTAGGGC